CAAAAATTAGTTAGAATTGAAGTCAATTTTACCACTGCCAATCCAAACACACCCTAACTCCTTAGCGGTGAGTTAGTCTATTACCTTCCTACTTAGAGGAAGATGTTTTGCATGCATTATAGGAGATGATTAGTTAGACTAGTAACCTACCTCTGTTGAGAACTAGCTTTGGTGTCTATTACAGTGAAATGCTCATTGTTAAGTGAGATATGTATCATTTAAATACCGTTTTAGTGATTTAAATTTAAAATTTTTAACTAATAATTTTTAAATAAAAAATTATTTTTTTTGAAATATTGACATTTTTGTTTTATATTTTGCACACATTAAAATATTTTTTTTAAAAAAAAACTGAACTTCTCTTATTTGGATATCCATTATCTTTGCACAGAAACCACTTCCCTTAACTCATACATTTTCTCTCCGCTTTTCTTTAAATATCTGTAAAGCGAAAAAAGCCTGTGTTTATTTGGACCTATTTATGTTAAAAACTTATGAGCATGTTCACGTATTTATTTCATATTTTATAAATTATAATTAAAAATTATTTTTAAATTGTTCTACCCCGATTCCGAAAATAACTGTTTAGATTAAGTTTGTGAATTGTCAGCTGTTGAGGTTATCAGAATACCTTTAAGAATATACAGTTTAATTTAACTATTTTCCGTACTACATCACCAAGAGTTTTATCATTATATCAAAGAGAGAAGATATGTATTAATTTTCGGCAGCTTCCAACTGTCACCAAATTTAAATTATAAAAAAAATAATTGTCTACAACTTGACCCCACTATATATTCAAATTCCTAACTCCTATATCTCATGACGTTTGATGGCATCAAAAAGCCAATTGTTGCTTCATCTTGCCGACCACCAAATTTACAAAAACGAATTGATATTTATTTAGTATAATCCACATCAAAATCTCAAATTGACCCACAAAAGTCTCTCTCTCACACACAAATATGTATACATGTTCTTTTCTTTTCTTTTTTTTTAATATTCTCCACTACTATGGGATTGGAATAAGGATTAGGTTCTGCGTGAATTTCACCACAAGAAAATGTGCTTAGAGACTTTCGGGTGCAGATTTTGTACTGCCACTGTACATTCTATGAAAGGAAAATAGTCAAAAAGAATAAGAAGAAGTGTTGATGCGCACCATCTTACAACTTGCCTTTGCCTTCTGAAATTCCTCATATTGCATACAATCTTGTAATTATAAACTAGGATTATTTTTTTTTTTTTGGATATAAATTCTTGTCATTTTCTGAACCATACTCAATTTTGCGGTTGATTAAGATGATTGATTCATAAATCGGGGAAAGAAAAATAATTTGACATGACCCCAAAAGGGAATCATAGATTTGGCAAATTATTTGACAAGATGTCTGAGTTTGTACTCAAACAATATGCAAGTGGAGATCGCCCAATAACCTAAAGAATTGAAGGGAATTATTGCTGCTTATTGATCAATTATAGTATTCTACGAAAATGATCCAAGTGTATTAAACCCTAAATTGCCTCATTTTCCAAACGCAATCAAGAATATACCTTCTCAATACTCTAAAAATTTTCAGGTAATTTTAGCTCTCTCTTGTCATTAAAAAGAAACGAAAGATTTAGGGGAATCATTTCTCACTCAATGGAAAGTGTTTCAGCTTCTACTGTTGGGACAGAAGGGGTCTTTTTCCTTTTTTTCCAGTTGTTTTCTGATTTATTCACAGCAGAATGTAACGTGGGCTAGAACTGCTATTAGGCCCCAGTACTAGCGCCCACAAAATGAATCCAATATTGCATCCTAAGCCCACAATTTAAAGTTTTGTTTTCATGGCGGACGCTCCTAGGGGGACTAGGATGCACGGTGCAATTTATAGCTGAATTCAGCAAAAACGTCCAATGTTTTTTTCTTTTCAAAAGGCTAATTGAATTGACGTGCAGAGATACCGGGAGTTCTAAAAAGGTAGGAAACATTAATTTATCGCCACATCACAAATCTATATTTATTACTCTTAACGTCCCCTTGATTGTCTAAAGGCGGCGCTAAATTTCTTCCTATCTCAATTCATGCAAAACAAACTTGTCAATAGTATTAAAGAATCACGCATTTCATATCATATTTTTGCCAAAAATCTCGTACACATCGGAACAACCAAAAACTAATCTTTATTCGTGAGTTGTATGAAATAGCAATGCATCTGATAGCACTATGCATAGGATTCAGCTTTAAACATAAGCCCAATCGATGCCTGCAAATGGATTTTACCAATAACGTTCTTTCAGAATTCCTCTAGCAACCAAATCATTCTTTCAGAACTCCTCTAACAATCCATTCAGCTTCTATAGGCTCAAAAAGTATTTTGGCTTCTCACTACATAATATACTTACAAGATAACTACTGGTCCCCCAAACAAAAGCCCCTCAACAAAGGTTCCAGCATTCATGACAAACCCCTTTACAAGGCAGTTTAATTACATATCAGTTAATCTGTACTAACTCACACTATCATTAGTTAGCGAGTAAAAAGAACAGTAGAAACAGTAACATCAAGGTCTTGTACTAAGAGTAAGGTTCAGCTTCTCTCCGTATTTGACGCAATTGCTACGATGCATAGAGGGTTAAGCAAAGTGAACTGTGCAATGGATAATCATTACCAGACCGGCTCAGATAAGGATCAAAGTCGTTGACAAGATATCAACCATTGATAATTGACATGCAATGATCAGCTATAGTCATAAATGGCGCCTTCCTCAATAAGATTTTTTATGGATAACCTACAAAACCAGAACCTGCCTCAACATAGTCCTGCTAAGCAACATAAGAAGGGGAAGGAGGGAGGATAAGTAGACAGACATGAGCTTATCCAAAGGAAGTCCAAGATGCTGTGCAATAAGATCCCGAGAGACCCCCTCCTCTGTTGCCCTGAACCAACAGAAAGATAAAGTAAAGTAATGGACCAAATTTTGCGAGTACAAATTAAAAAAAAAAAAAAAAAAACACACACACACATATGTGAATAATAGGACAATAACACAGAATATAATGATAAGGAAAATTTGAAGACTATTAAGTTGTTACAACCGTGTAACACAGAACATAATGATAAAGAAACTTTGAAAACCATAAAAAGTTACAACCGTATGCACCTTAGGAAGCACTGGAGGGAACACTCCAATTTTAAGCAAAGCTTATGCATGTCAACCTGGCAATATATGATCAAATGTATGGCCTCACAGCTTAAATCTGATTCTTGCCTAGCCCGATGTAATTCTCATGACTTGATGTTATATGCCCTTGTCAATTTTCTTTTGTTTGCTTCGAAAGTAAGATTTAAATTATTTTTAAGCAGCCATCTGGAAGAGCCTATAATCTAGAGATTAGTCTTGTTCTCTCTTCCCCCTGTCCCCGCTCCCGGGGGTAATTTTCTCATTTTTCTTTTCTCTCTTTTCCCCATAAAAGTAAGAAGGAAAAAAAAAAATCAAGGATACATCCATCCACCCAGGAGGGCAGCAGAGTTTGCCGCATGTTCAATAACATTAACTATTAAACATACACAAATCACATTCTAGAATTACCTGTTCGAGGGAAGGTGCAAGATATCTAAGACCATATCTTCAACACTCTTCTGACCATTGATGCGCTGACCAGAGAACAAGGAAGGACCCAAAAAGAAAAAAAAAAGGACTACATCGAATAAGATATTAATAAAATGGTCAAAAATAAATTTATCATTTATAAATAGTCCTCTCACTTGATTTGAAGGGGCAGCTTGATAACCTCTTGTGGGATTAATAGGTAAGGACTACATCGAATCAGCTCATAGATTGCTGATTCGGCACACTATTCTGCAAATTTTATAGTTTAGAATAAGAAAATTAAAAATAAAATAAAAATAATGGAGAGCCCAATCATGCGTGAATTGTATATGCACATTTATGTCATGTCAAACCGAGATATAATCTGCAATATTCTAAACTAATACCCATATCCTGGTATTATAGAGATGACGTATATACAATCAATGAAGTGACTTGCAATCTCGTTAAAGTCGTCCAAAGGCCTGTAAACAACACCAGTGTAGAGTTCAAAAGTCTGAAACAAGGACCAAACAAATACTATAGAACTTTGTTAATGTCAAAATAATAGCTATAAAACCATTATAAAAGTGTCCCCGGAGAATTAATTATAACAAGAGAAAGTCATTTAAATAAACCTTTCCATATCGAATGATGTTAACAACTTAAAAAAAAAAAAAAACGAAAGAATGCATAGAGAAATCCCGGGAAGTGATTCAAATGAAGATTAAACTATCAACAAAATAACAGCTTGGTCTCATCATTTACTCGATGAAATGATCGTTAACCCACTTACACTAATAATTATAGGATTAGTCATCCAAGTCACATAATTTTGTAGATTTATAGCTGAGGGCAAAGTGACAGAAACAAGGTGTATTGATTGGACTACCCAATTTATTACTGCCGTAGAGATTTGTCTCAAAGAAAAAAGGTAGAAACAGGGAACTAGAGCTGAAACCAACAGACTGGCCAATTGTACAAGGGTTTAATGCATGAAGGGTCAGAGGGTGGTTGAGGAAGCGGATCGAAGAAACTATTTAAGAAGGAAACCTGCCCCGGGAAAACAGGGAACAGAGCCTTTAAGATAAAAGTTAGGCACCGGTCTTGTGCCATTATCATCTTATTCATTTCTTCTCTTGTTCTGTCTGCTCTTATAGTGCCCAGATTGTTCTGCTATGTTACTAATTTCTCATGCTGAATGAAGGAGTCTTAGCCAGCTCGTCTTAGAGTTTCTGGTTTGCATTTGTGATTGGTCTGGAGGTGTGTAACTGAAGTGTTTGCTTGGTCAGTCACATTTGACTGAATCTTGGTGGCACTAGCATGTGTCGGTATTAGACAGTGAATTGGTTGCTGTAAGCTGTCCAAGGACTACTTCTGCTTCAATGTCAAATATAAGTGTCTTGCAGCGTTCTTTGTGTTATTCTAGCAGGATTTAGTAAGGTTCCTATCATATGCATTTCCCAAAACCCAACCACCTTCACTATAGGCCAGCACTCTGACAGTATTACACAGAAGAAAACAAAAAATACTGAACTGCTAAACTTGAATAATTAGACTTGATATTAATGGCATACCTAAAAGAGAATACATTTGAGGTCCTTTTCCCCTGAAAACCCTTCAAATGTCCATGTAAGCGCACATACATTCCATCCCTGCAACCAAAAAAAGAAAAGGAGTTATTATATTCCATGAAATGAAATAAACGACCCGTTCAAAAAGAGGTGGCAGCCAGAAATAATAACTTTATAAAGCATCGCACTGCAGAATGGCAAATGACGCTTGGACATGTAATGTTCTGAAATTCTGATTAGCGAGAAAATTACCAACTCATAAATCTATATTCATTGTGTCAAGTTACAATGCTAAAAGGTTTGATCGCAATGATCACGTAACCGAGAAAAGTTTGTTTAAAGAGGAGACTAATGAAAGAAATGAAAAAGGTTATGAAAGTAAGAAATCATTAAAAAATAAATCAGTAAGCGAATACAGCATTAGACATAAGTAACCAAATTACCTGAGACCCTCCGCTTCATTAGCGTCTACATCTTCCTGAAGCCTGCACATGCAAAGTTACTTGTCACTGTCAAAATTTAAAAGACCAGAAAAAGTAAACTAACAAAAAAAAAAAAAAGGCAAAACATCAACAAATAAAAAAATCACCATTTACTGCACTCAATCCTTCCAGTCCCATCATCTAGTACAAAAGTAACATCAGTAATCCTTCCAGCCTTGTTGCACACCCTTCCTACAAGAGTGACCTAAATACGATTTTAACTGAAACTATCAGAACAAGAGAAAAGAAGACCACGACCAACGGTCAATTTGAAATTCAAAAAACTCACATTATTAACATCCACGCCGTCAATAATCATATTAGACTTATCATCACTTGACTGAAATGCATCATTTATCTGCTTGACCGTCAGAGGAAGCAATGACTGAGCATCACGATTCTGCAAAAAGCAAAGTATTGAGTCGGTTCATTGGTTGACTTGAACAGTAACGAAGATAACTCAAACAATAATTTTCACCAATATTCCAGAATATAATCAAGCCAAAATGCAGCAAAACCATGTGATTGCTAATTGCTCAGAGGAATTTAAAATAAATAGAATTAAACAGATTAGATTGAATCAACTGTCGCAGTTCGGTTATTAGCAAACCAAAGCACTAATCGCTCTTGCCAGAACATAAAAACAGTAGACAAAGAACATAGTTTCGCTGCTACGTCAAATTGCGGGATTATGAAGACGACGAAAAACTAAGAAGGAAAAATGAGAAAGAAGGAGCGAGGCAGATAGAAGAAGTATGAGAAAATATGGACCGTGGTGTAGGAGAAGGAAAGTTCATGGCCTTGAGCTGCCTGAGACGGCATAAAACCACCGCCGGAGAAGGCTGCGGCGCCGTCGAACTCGCTGGAATGCATGCTTGTTCTAGCTCTTTGTGCGGTTCGGAAATCGAAACCCTATAAGAGCAGAGAGTAGCGAGACAGAACGCACTATTCCAGAGGTTTGAAACTGAAATTTCTATGGAGCATCTGAAACTGGCGCGGTTTTAAATCTTTTTTGACGAAAATAGCAAAAGTCTACCCTGAACTTACTCGCGTGGTCTTGTATTTTTGGGAGAATTGCTAGAGACATAAATGAATAAATGACATTCACCAAAAAAAGAGAGTGAGTAAATGATAAGTTTTAAGATAGTAAATGACAAAGGTTTACCGTTTATTTATAATTAAAACTTGTTGACAATTAATTTTTTTTAGACCTTGTTATAACTTTTCTTATATTTTTGTCTCTTTTCTTTGGGTAAAATTAAAATATTCCTTTTTTAAAAAAAATAATTAAAAAATTAAAATTAGTTTTTTGGTCTTTTCATTATAATGCTACTATCCTATTCTACTTGTATATTGTTTTATGACTTAAGTAGTATACATTGCCTCTTACTTTAAAAAAAATCATATACAAGTAATATGCATTTTGATATTTTGCGCATTCCTTATTCTAAGCTCAAATTCCTTAGATTAATTTTTTTTCATTAATAATATTTTATTTAAACCATAATTTTGAATCAATTAAACTCAATCTCTAATATAATGTGTATATATATTGTTATCATATTTTAATTTTTTCTCTTTTTACTTCAAATTTATAACTTTCACCTTTTTCTTTTTGCCATGAACCATCACCTTATTATTTTTTAACTTACCTCTCACGTCATTATTATTGTTTCTATTATATTTACTTCCTTGTTATTATAACTTCTAACTTGGTTAAAATTATATGTTACTTTAGGATATGAAGATGTTTGAAGACGAAAATACTCATATTGGATAGTTGATACTCATGTCAGTGATTTATTAGGTGGAAATAAAATTGGCAAGCCCGGCTTTTAATTAAATCTTGACTTTTGAAAAGCCAACCCTTTAAACTAGCTCTTATGACCACTTCTAAGGAATTTAATTTGAAGTTTTGTTTGGTGACTTATTTAATCATGAACGGCATCTTGGTGCAGTGGAAATGACCAATGGCCGGTTAGGAACTCTCTATATTTGATTATCTTGGCACAAGTGTTAATAAAAATCCCGAATTTGAGTAAATAAAGTGTGAAAAGACCTTGGTCATAGTATTGGCATAATGATTCGCATATTGACGGTATCAGAACTCATCTTTTAAATAGATAGCAAACACACATGTCTATTGCAACAAATAAATTCGAAGGGAGAAAGAAATGAAATTAAAATAACGTGGTTAAAACCGGCCGTTTGGCCGAGTCATATGCGTGTATGTAGGGTGTGTGTTGCGTGTTCGATCTCGCCTTCTTGTAACAAAAAAAAAACAAACATGGTTAAAACATAAATTTCAACCTTTAATTTTATATAAAATTTCAATTTGATCTTTTAATATTAAAATGTATATATTTAGTCCTTTAATTTTAAAATTATTGAGCTTAAATAATATTTTTTTATAATAATTGTGATTATTTTGGAAATTAAACTTAATTTACTAGTATTTGAATTTACTAGTATTTGAAGATATTTTATTAATATTTAAGATTTCAATATCATCATTTTTTTATTAATAATTTTAGAGCTAAAGAACTAAAGTATATATTTTTTAAAATTAAGAAATTAAATTGAAACTCTCTATAAAATTAAATGATTAAATATATATTTTAGTATTTTAACTAAAAGATATACTGCACATAAAATGGACAGCTTGAATTTTATAATTTTATTATTATATGAGATCCACGTTCACAAAACAACAAAATTTTATGTTGGTTATAGAGAGCCTAACACAACTCTTTTTTTTTTTTTTAATCCGGGTCCGAGAGAAGTTGAATGAGATCTTTTGGTTAATAAATTATCATAGAATATGGTTGTTAATATAACACAATAGCATTCATGTATCCAATCCCATATAATGATATCGTACTTATTGTTGTATTATTATCGAGTTATATAAATAATCTTGATTTAAAAATACTAACTATTGAAAAGTATTAAATTTATCAAAATCAAATGCAAATATAGTATGGATTTTTTCAAGACCAGATAATCTAACAAATATTAGAGGAGAATCTCGCAAAAATAATTTTAAAATTTAAAATTTCACATAATAACTATTAACAATATTTTAAAAACAAATGAGAACACATTTTTTTAGTTATTCATTTGTTTTTTGGAGATTCTCCCGATAAAGAGAAAGGAAAATCTAATTAAAAAAAAAGGATGCGTATTTCACTCATCTATATGAAAGGTTAAAAAAAGATTAAAAAAAAATTACTGATAAAGAGAAAAAGATAAGCATTTAATCCTTGTCTTGTCGGGTCCTTCTGCCCTTCTGGACTCTCTGACTCCACCGCTTCTCCTTCCTGAAGCTCTGAGAGATTACGTGGTTTTTGGTCTTCTCTGTGCATCTCTGGCAGGGGCTCAAACTGTTTTAGGAAAAACTATATGAAAGGAAAATCTAATTAAAAAAAGAGGATGCGTATTTCACTCATCTATTTCTTAATAGCCAGAGAGTAAGGAGAATCTCCCAGGGATAAAAATGAGCTGTTATTACTTGAGTGATATGGTAGCTAATCTATTTATAGACTGAAATTGCATTAAAATAAAATCCAGAAATAATTCTTAAAATCTGGTGACTGACTCCAACAGCTAAATAATACTTGACACATTTTGGGATCCTCTTAACAATATAGATGCTTATTTGACTCTTAAATTCTCTCAAACAATAATTCAAATTATGCAATAGCAAAATAAGGAATTAAAAAAAAAAGACTACTAAAGAAATACTACTACTAATTAATCTATCTTCTGTCGCTTCCTCCTCCTGACATAAGTCTGCATGGGCTTCTCATCAATTTCTTTACCTACAAAAACAGAGAAGTAAAACAGTTAACCGTAAAGTTTTCCTAAAGAACAAGGTAATTAAAATTAACAATAATCTAGTAACTCTTTTTCCCCTTTGAAACTAAAACATTAATCAAATTTAACTCTTAAAATTGGTGCAAATTAAGATAGTTTCAAGAAGCTAACAATACTTGGTGGTGGTAGATGCTCTATTTGTTCATCAAATGACTCATAATACTTCAAGTAGACTGCTGTCCTTTCCATAGTGTACCCATTACCAAAAGCTATAATCACCTCAACTTGGTCATCTGAGTCAAGATTTGATATTATTTCCTTCAACTCTGCTTCTTCAAACGAAGTCAGTGAATCTTGCCTGTAGTGTAGAGTGGTTTTCTTTGTATAATTTATGATCATTAGGCTAATACAAGATTCACAGGCTTTGTTACCCAAATCACATGAAGGGAAATATACACAACAAATAATTATCCCTTTCAAATCAAAGCTGCTAACTTGAGGCACTTTAAATTTCACAGAAGCTTTTTGACCTTTGAAACTTTGCCAATAAGGATAATTGTCACCAGGAAGGACATAATCATCACCGTAATTCTTGGTAGTCAATCCCTGCTTAATAACACAAGCAGTAGCTTAATTCAACTATATAATTGGGCAAGCATATATTAGAATTCACATTCTCTTCTTTTCAACCAAAAGGGAAAAAAACGAATTGAAAAGAGAACCTGTGAGATATTCTCTAGAAGCGTAGCAGTGACTTGGTCATTATTTCCAATCTGAATTAAAAGATGTCTCAAGCAATTTTCTGATCTTGAGGTGTGACCAGATAACACAGAAGATTCAATCTCTAAGATTTTTGAAGTATTTGGTACTGTTGCCTTGTCCATGCAAATTCTAGCATGGGAGGACTCCAGAATTTTTGAAGCACCTCGAGTAACTTCAGGGTCATTCTCTGATGTGATTTTCAAAAAAAGGCTTTGTAGCTTTGACTGGTTGTCACAAATAGATGAAGGACTAGGGATATTCCTATTCAATATATCCGAGGAAATTGTCATGCCCACATATGTTGAGATAAGAGATAAAGGATTATTTGTTGGGGACATCCATGATGAAATGAGAGAAGGAAACACATCACTTGACAATCCGCTGTAGCCACCAATAGATATAAATCCAACACTTTTTAACCTCACAAAAGAAAATGGCACTTGTCTTATTGCAGTCTCATCAGTAACCAGAGTTGTCAAGGAATCCATTTGCTCTATATCTTCTTCTAACCTTTCAATCATTGCACAACCAGCTAGAATAAGAGTTTTTAGTGATTTTAAATTATAAATACTTCTTGGGAGAGTGCGAAGGTTGGTACAATTCTTCAAGTTTATGTGAAGAAGTTTATGGGCACATCCGATGGAATGATGAACCATGCACAAACTTCGACAATTTTTAAGGTTCAACTTTTCAAGATTTGGAAGTTTTGTGAAGTCAGGAGTTTGCATCAAGGAAGGGGAGTGACTACAATTGAGGATTTTTAGCCTGTGCAATAACTGCAAGAAGAAAAAAAATTCAAGGGAAAATTAGTGAAAAACCCATAAAATAAAGTAAATGAACAGCCATGAATGTTTGAAAGTGTCTCCCATGAAATTTGGTATTACCATTAAAGGCTAATTCTAAAGCATAGCTATCAGAGTAAAAATAAGCGTGCAGGCATTCAAAGGCTTGGAAACTACTTCAATATTTGGCAGGTCTCATAAAAAAAGTGTTTTACACCCTATAAAAGAACAAACTAATAAGAAAATGGTAAGTAAAACATCGAGTGCTTGATTTTATGGTTTATATAACAGAGTTTGGAAGAAAGTATGCATGATTTTGACATTCCACCAACAGGTTTTATCAACTTCTATAAACATTGATTAAACTCCATAAAATCTCCCATCTCAGAAAAAGTATCTTTTCCAAAACACTTCAATTGAAATGACCGCTTTAATTAGCTAGATATGAACTCCTGAAAGCGAAATACAAATAAGTTATTATGATGGTGGAATGGCAAGTATCTATAACACCGAACATAAAAAAGAAAGTAAATTGAAGAAAAATTCAGCTATGTTCAAGAATAGTGATGAACTAAGCATCATCCAGAAGTTGTTATTAGAAAAGTCTGAAATAACGACCGGTCTAGAAGTTATGCAGTAAAACAAAATCTAATAATGAATAAATTTTACTCCTGATGCCAACAAACAGAGCATACATACCTGGGTTTCCCTCCAAACTTGTCTGAGGTTACTGTACTTTAACTCAATAGCAACTAAATTTTCCTGATAAAAATTGGCAGGGATGTATTTCAAAGGAAAGCCATGCCAACAAAGCCATTTGAGATCTCTACTAATGTGTCGATAGTCTCCATCAATATCCACATTATCAAGACGGAGCAATCTGAGTGACTTCATCTTCTCAAATGCTTTGGTAGAGAAACAATCTTTATGGGTTTGTGACAAGTTCAAAGCTAGCCCCTCGACAAATTCTGTACCCTGCAAATAAATAGCATATAAAATTTAAAGTTTGTACCTCTATTATTCATTTACTGAAAGGCAAAATGTAAACCCATTTGACAAGCAAGTTTCTAGAGCAACTAAAACAATGAATTTTAAGATACATAATTTCTGCCCAGGAGTAAAATTAACTGCAAATATACCTACTTATCCAATTCATTCACATTCAATTGTGTTCCCATGCCATTTTACGTTTTAGAAAGAATGATAAATATAAGATAGGAAAGTCCTTACAGTATGTTTTGATAAGACATCAAGCACATCTCCATTAAACCATAATCTGCTACGCTTTCCAGGCTGTTTTGGTGATTGTTCTTGGACTATCTCCCTCCCCATATCTCGCAGCAAATCATGCATGCTAAGCTTGTTCTTCTCATCAACAATTACAAGGCTCCGCTCCACAAGGACACTTATTCCCATGTCTGAAAAAAATCCACAAGCATCCAATATCCGTGTAACATCACTCCTATCCATCCCAATAAAGAAGAAAGATATATCAAGGAAGATTTGTTTTTCCGTCGCAGTTAAACCATCAAAGCTTATTTTTAGCTTCTCTTGTATCTCATCATTGGGGATTCTTTTTAGTTTGTCCAGTACACTTATCCACTCTTTCTCTTCCCTATCAAATAAATGAGAACCTAGGACTTCAAGGACTAAAGGTACTCCTCCAGAATAAGCAACTATATTTCTAGAAAGGTCAATGAAACCTGTTTTAGGATATGGTTGCTTAAATGCATGCCAACAAAAAAGCTCAATAGATTCCCATATCTCCATGTTCTTCATTGTATATACATGATCCATGTTAAGGAGTTTGAGCAGATGCTTATCTCTCGTAGTGATAATTATTCTGCTTCCTGGACCAAAGCATTTCCGACTTCCAAACAAAGCATTTAGTTGCTCAACCTCATTCACACCATCAATTACGAGAAGTGCTCTCTTATGGGGAAGAAGTTCCTCCAATGTGATTTTTCTTGAATCAATGCTACGCGATGCACTCGTTGTTGTTTTACAAATTTCTGAAAGAAGTTGATGCTGTAACTTAACTGGACCATTATATTGCCCCCAAACTTCCCTAATGTTTGGCAGAAAGCATTTGCTCTCAAATGTTCGACCAATTTTATTATAGATGGCTTTGGCAATGGTTGTTTTGCCGATACCCCCAATCCCGCATATCCCTAGCAGGAGAACACCATTCACTGAATAGCTTTGTAATATGTTAATCAAATCTTGCAAACGAGAGTCCACTCCAACGAGATGTTTAGCAATAAACAAGTCTTTCTTGTCCAGCATTTTACGAACATGCTCAACAATTTTCTTGATATCCTCACTTTCATTCCTGAATCATAAACAAATAAAACAGAAATGAGCATCAATAACATAAGTATGAGTAGAAAAGAAAAATTGTCAAGCTATTAAAGGTAACATGTCAGAATTAGAGCAGACATTATGAACAAACCAAATAGAAACCATGTTGGAAACTATAACACTACAATACCCATGGAACCGGAAATGTCAAACAAAAGACATGTCGATTCGACCAAATTCAAAGCAATAATTTAAAACAGAACATAACATCATTTATGCTTGTGAAATCGCTATACTTAAAAATGAAAAAAAAAACGGTAAAACAAATTTTTGGCTAGCTAATAATACACTCAATATCTGACTTCAAAACTTTCAGTTACTTGTCAGAACTACACCCTGGCTTGCTGATTATATGCAGGCATCAATATAACATTCTTTCTCTTTCCTTTATCAAAAACCAAAAAAAAAATAAAAACATAACACTTATTCTTTGATAAATTGCTGTTATTTGTTAGACATGCATAAAATCTTCTCATTTACAATATTACAAGTGACCTGCTAGCAAAAAAAAAAGAAAGTAAATTATAGAGAACTCCTTTTTATTCTCAAAACTTGTATAAACTTCCTTTCAAATCAAAAGTTGTATTTTAGAGTTTATTTCTATTTCCCTGTCTATGATATGCTAGTTAAATAGCATTCGTTGGACCAAAATATCATTTATTAACATGAATACAATTAAAAAATCATTTAACAACAACAACAACAACAAGCCTTATCCCACTAGGTGGGGTCAGCTACATGAATCACACGACGCCATTGTGCTCTGTCAACAACCCAGTCCTTAGATATATTGTTGACTAGAAGGTCTCGTTCAATGACCTCATTAAGCGTTTTCCTTGGTCTTCCTCTGTTCCTTTTTATGGGACTCCATCTTGTCTGATCCACCCTCCTTACCGGGGCCTCCAATGGCCTTCTCTGCACATGTCCAAACCATCTTAAGCGATTTTCAATCATTTTCTCTTGGATAGGTGTCACACCGACTCTTGCTCTGATATTTTCATTTCGAATCCTATCTTTTCTTGTATGACCACACATCCATCTCAACATCCTCATTTCTGCTACCCCGAATTTGTGCTCTTGTTTTCCTTTTATTGCCCAACATTCACTACCGTACAACATAGCTAGTCTTACAGCAGTCTGATAAAATTTTCATTTAAATTTCTCAAGTACCTTCTTATCACAAATAAATCCGGTAGCTTTCCTCCACTTTAACTAGCCAGTTTGTATTTTATGAGAAACGTCTCCATCAATTTCCCCATCCTCCTGTATAATGGATCCTAGGTATTTAAACTTTGACACTTGAGGAATGATTTGCTCCCCCTTCTTCACCTCCAAATCCCCATTGCCTTGCCTCCCCCTAAAATCACAATGCATATATTCTGTTTTGTTCCTACTCAAGCGGAGACCTTTCGACTCTAGAGTCCTTCTCCATAACTCCAATCTAGTGTTAATCTCTTCTTTTGATTCCGCCATGAGAACTATATCATCCGCGAAAAGCATGGACTTAGGGATTTTTTCTTAAATAGGTTCAGTTAGAACATCCAGAACAATGTTGAACAAATACGGACTCAAAAAGGATCCCTGATGTAGGCCAATCTGAATAGGGAAGTCCTTTGTCTCACCTCCAGGCGTCCTTACACTGGTAGTTACTCCCTCATACATATCTTGTATGGCTTTGATATAAGCAACCCGTACACATTTCTTTTCCAAAGCCTTCCACGTTACTTTTCTTGGCACACGATCATAAGCCTTTTCCATGTCAATAAAAACCATATGTAAATCCCTTCTTTTACTTCTATATCTTTCTATTAACCCTCTTAGTAAATAGATTGCTTCCGATGTGGATCTCTCTGGCATAAATCCAAATTGGTTTTTTGAAATAGAAGTCTCCAGCCTCAACCAGTCAACCTATATTCTATCACTTTTTCCCACAACTTCATTGCATGACTCATAAGTTTTATCCCTCTGTAGCTTGCACAGTTTTGAATGTCTCCTTTATTCTTGTAAATAAGAACTAAAATGCTTCTCCTCCACTCATCCGGCATATTCTTAGAGAGTAAAATTTCATTAAAAAGTTTGGTTAGCCACACCTCATCCTCATCGCCCAAACATTTCCAAATTTCAATAGGGATACCATCAGGCCCAATGGCTTTTCCATTGTCCATTTTCTTGAGAGATGCCTTAACCTCTCCGATACGGATCCTGCAGTAGAAAGCCAAATTTCGATCATCTTCGTTAATTAGCAAGTCCTGTAAGTCTTGAGTCGCATAATTGCTTCCTTCATTAAACAACTTGTAAAAGTAAGCCTCCCATCTGTCCTTAATATCACCATCAGTAACTAACACTTTACCATCTTCATTCTTTATACACTTTACTTGGTCCAAATCTCTCTTTTTCCTTTCCCTTTGCTTCTCAATCTTGTAAATATTTCTTTCTCCCGTCTTTGTTCCTAATTCCTGATAAAACCCTTCATAAGTTTTAGTACGTGCTTCGCTCACTGCTCTCTTCGTCTCTTTTTTAGCCAACTGATATTTTTCTCGATTTTCTACACTATTGCACGAGTGTATGGCCTTAAAACAATCTCTTTTCTGTTTGACTTTCTCTTGCACACTCTTATTCCACCACCAAGTCTCCTTATCTCTCTGACCACGACCTTTGGATTCTCCCAAAATTGCTTTACCTACCAAACGAACCCTTGTAGCTATCTCTTCCCACATCATGCTTGTATTTCCTTGCGACTCCCAAATCCCTTCCTCCAAAAAGGTCCTTTTGAATAACTCTCACTTCTCACCCTTTAACTGCCACCACCTAACCCTGAGTTTTACCACTTGATGGTACTTTTGCCTGGTACTCTTAAAACGTTCATAAAGAATAAGTACTCTATGTTGGGTAGTCACCCCATCTCCTGGAATCACTTTGCAATTAGTACACAATCTTCTCTCTGGATTCTTAACCAAAAAGAAATCAATCTGTGATTTTGAGACACCACTTTTGTACGTGATTAAATGCTCCACTCGCTTCTTAAAACAAGTGTTGACAATCTTAAGATTATATGCAAGAGAAAAGTCGAGAATAGATTGTCCTCCACTATTAAGCTCCCCAAAACCAAAACCACCATGGGCCCTGCTGAATTGTCCTGCTTCCTTACCGACATGTCCATTAAGGTCCCCACCGATAAAAATATTTTCTTCGAGTAGTATGCTTTGAACCAACCCCTCTATATCTTCCCAGAACTTATCTTTAAGGTGTGTCTCTGTCACAACCTGAGGTGCATAGGCACTAATGATATTGATAGTATCTTTTCCAACAATTACTCTTAACGATATTATTCTGTCCTCAAACCTTTTAACCTCTACCACGTTTCTTTTTCATGTTCCATCAACGATGATACCAACTCCATTCCTTGCACTCACCTTTCCTGCATACCAAAGTTTATACTCTTCAAGTTCCTTGCCAGCTTCTCCAGTCTATTTGGTTTCTTGGAGGCACAAGATATTAATCCTTCTGTCCCTCATAACTCCTACTACTTTCATAGATTTCTCATTCAGCATCCCAATATTCCAAGTGCCAAATCTAATCTCAGTCTCATGAACTAACTTCTTTAGCTGCCTTTGTCCAAGAGAGTGCGGTAGCTCTCGCTCATTTAACACTATATCCAGGCGACGATGCAGCGGTTCTAGCTCATTTCTCACTATACTCTAGCCATACAGCGCATCACTTTTGGACAACGACCTAGCATTAGCATAATTATTTCGTTGATCCATGTTCATGAGATTCGACGGGTTTTTACGTTGGCTGTCGAGAGCCTAACACAACCCTCCTCCTTTATCCGAGCTGAGGGCCTATTAAAAAATCATTTATGTTACATAAAATGATTTAAAGATATATATTTTTAAACTTTTTAATCACATTTTAATATTTTCAGTTCCGCAAACTTATTTTAGTAATTTTTAAAATTTGAAAACAAAAGTTGTCTAAATTAATATTTTAAATATATGTACAAAAAATTAATGCATTAGAAGTTTAATATAATGAGATTGAATTAGTCAACATAACTGAAAAGGAAGAAACCACTTACAAAGGTCTATCATGATAGAAAGTTTTGGCCGAAAAACTTAAATAATAACAATGGTAGAAAAATATTAATCTTATAATTAAGTTTATTATGGTTATACAAGATTTCACTAATCATCCTAAAAAAGTTAATCGTGATAGAAAAAGATAAAATTAATCAAATAAAAGTTTACCATGGTAATTAGGATTTATCATCCATGATTAAGAAAAAAAAAATTAAAGCTCTACCATGATAGAAAATACTCTATCATAACCAACAAGGGTTAGGTTTAGCAGAAGGAGCTACTTTCTCACAATATGTCGAACCAAGATTCGAATGTCTACTGGGAAACGTGCTCACATTTAGTGCTTTAGGAGAATACCTATGCTTAGCAAGAGCAAAGGCTCTACCATGGTAATAAAAGATTTGGCCATTTGATTAACACCATATAATTTCAATACTTAAAATTGGGATTCTAAAGTCACAACTATAATTTCGGTACTTGAAATTGGAATTCCAAAGTCACAGTTAAATCAATATGCAATTGGTTAGGGCGTTTGGAGCCCACAGTACAATCATTATCACCACAACCCATTATAATCAACAATATAACATAATGCTCCAAAAAAAAAAAACAAAACAAAACAAAACAATACAACATAACACGAATATCTCAATTAATTTCATTCATTGTTGGCAAAAAAAGAAAAAGTCATTCATTAAACCACTAGGGCTCAACCCACGTTATCAGCGCTATCCAATAATAGGCTCAGGTTCAGCCCACATCAAGGCATCAACAAACAGTAAACAATGAAATATCTCAATTCTTGACCAGGATTTTGTGACTATTTTGGAACCACCTGAGTTCTATGAAGAACAGCTTAGGATAGACAGTGGCACAATGCCGCCAGTTGCTAGCTTTATAGCGTAGTTTGTTAGTTTAGAGTAGGTTCTTCAAGCATCTTGTTTGCCTTATACTAGTATTTAGTTTCCTCCCATCATCATAAATTATAAATTTTTCAATCAAATTGTAATTTTAGTTTCCTCAAATCAACCATTTAGACAAATATACTCTTTTCAAGTTTTAAATTTAACATAATTAGTTCAATAAATATTAGAATAATCAACCAGAAGCTTCATAATTTTAAAATCCATCAAACCCTAAATTCCTTAAAAACCGAAAATTAAATAGGAGAATAAAAAATAGAATATGAACAAATTACGAAGCACCTAGTAACACCCAAGCAATCTTCCTCTCACTATCTCTCTTACCCTCACTCTCCGCGTCAGCCCAGGAAGAATGAAGAAGAACGGAAATAAAAAAAATGAAAGGAATCTTTCCATTTTCCTTCTCCTGCACTTCCATTCACTTATCATCTCAACCATTAATATTAAAATTTAAACAATTTAGATTTCATATTTTATAAAAATTTTATTATTTTTTTAAATTAAGAAGAGGTCAATTTAAAAGGAGGTCAATTGTATTTTACCCACAAAAAAAGAAATTAATGGTAACTAATGGTGCCCGCATTGCAGCGAGAATCTATTCATGTGTATCTGTTTAGGCTTAGCAAAATTAAAAAGAAATAAAAAGACAAAATATTTAAAAATTACTTGGAATTGAGCACAACAAGCCCTGCAATGCCTCCAGCTTCGTGGAGATCAGTCTCCCACCTCGACACTTGATCTTTTGTAGGTGAACTTTCTTGTATAAGCAATTGAAATGAAGTCCCAAAACTATAGAGTCGATTACGAACTTCAGACGGATCCACGCCATAAAACACAGGCAAGACTACCTGATCATCTGCTCTGTAAAGCTCCATGATTTTGGACAGCTCGTTGAGGCAGCATCTAGAACCAGCATAATCTTTGGAGAAGATAATGATTGACATTGTAGAACGTTCAATTTCAAGTGGCAATTGGATTGAGATATCATTCCCCATAGAAAGGTCGTCATCCTCTCTGGGAAGAACAAGTCCAGCATTACCTAAGGAGGCATAAAGATGAGAAGTGAAAGATGCCCAAGTGTCTTTGCTTCTAAAACTCAAGAACACATCGTACTTGTGAACATCATTTGTTGGATGGCTTTTTGACATTCTAATCAAATGTTGCATATGAGAGTCCTTTTCGACAGGGTAGTTAGCAATAAACAAGTCTTTCTTGTCCAATATTTCACAAACACAATCAACAATATTCTGGATATCCTCTCGTTCATTCCTGCATTACAAACACAAATATAACAGAACATTATTGAGGAGTTTAGAGATGAAAAATTCGGGCCACAACACAACATTCAAGCAGGTCCACATAAGCACTTGTGAACATTTAAAGCAAACGATTGAACTTAAGGAACCAGATGGTGCAATTTGCTCTATTAAGCAAACTAAAATGAAAATATCAAATGATAGTTCATCATTTATAAACATGACAGGTTTGAGATGAATAAGAAGAAGACACATATATTTCGAAGTCCATGCATTTAAGAGAATAAAGATGAAAATTTAGATCGCAAGAGAGCATTCAACGACGCCCACATGAAATATATCATAATTTGAATAAATTTACAGTATCATATGCATAAAATATATGTAAATTTGACCAAATTCAAAGCAATAATTTAAAGGAAAACGTAACATCATTTGTGCTATTGAAATCGCTATATTTAAATAAGAAAATAAAGTAAACTGAATTTCCTAACTGATAATATACTCAATATTTCACCCCGGCCCTTTGATTATACTCCTCTTGTTTTTAATATAAAACCTAATTGGAAACTTGATGTCGGTCTTATATATAAGACCAGAGGAGTATTAAATATACCAATTTAACACTTATTCTTTGATAACATATTGCTGTTATTTATTAGCCATGGAATGTTCTCATATCCAATATTACAAGTGATTTGCTTGCAAAAAAATTACGTCACTAATGGCGCAAATTGCAGCAAGAATCTATTGTATGTGATCTATTCAGGCTTAGCAAAATCGAAAAGAAATTTTGAAAACGAAATATTTAAAAATTACTTGGAATTGAGCATGACAAACCCTTCAATACCCCCAGCTTCACGGAGATCTGTCCTCCACCTCGACACTTCATTTGCGGGGGGTGAATTTTTATGTATAAGATGTTGAAATGCTTCTCCAAAACTAGAGAGTTGATTATGAACCACGGATGGATCCACGCCATAGAACACAGGTAACACTACTCGACCTTGTGCTCTGTGACGCTTCATGATTTCGGAGAGCTCAATGAGGCACCATCTAGAACCAGCATAATTTTTGGAGAAGATGATGATATAAATTGTAGAACGTCCAATTCCAAATAGCAATTCAGTTGAGATACGCTTCCCCCTAGGAACGTCGGTATCATCTTTGAAAACAACAATTCTAGCATCAGTTAAAGCGGAGAAGAGATGAGAAGTGAAACACGCCCGGGTGTCTTCGCCTCTGAAGCTCAAGAACGCATCATGCCAAGTCCTATGAAATGAATAATTGCCAAAATGGAATGAGTATTACTATTAAATATCATAAATTATCATCCAACACTCAGATTTATTTGTGACGCATTCAGCATTATGATGTTAATATTTAATTGTTTTAATTACTTCTAGCATCCTAATAGTTTAGAGTGCTGGATGTACTATAAATAAAATTAAGGTGTTAGACACATAAAAAATGACATCAAAATGCTAGATGCGCTGTAAATAAAATCGAGTTAATGTTAATATGCTCATCATAAATATAAAAAGCAAAGATTAATGATTGCATACTTAATTTGAAGAAAAATACAACAAAACAAAATATTGCAAATAGTAATTAGATTGCTTTTTCCCTAATATATCGCAAACATTACCAAAATTCTACATGATAAATGGATTAATTTTTGTTCACTGGAAGGAGCTAGTCCCCCACTCTCTTATATCGGCAGCGAGATTTAAACTCATAATCTCATAGTTTATGAGTTTGCTAATGAATTTAAATTTTAAACCTATATATCCATTTATATGTTTGTATATATTCATTTTTAATCATTAATTGCTTGATATTAATGAATTATTTTATAAAAAAATATAATAAAAAAGGAAAATTACTTCCTAAATCAAATTCAAAAGTTATTTATTTTCAATAATCCTAGGTTCGATCTCGGTTTATGAATAAATTTGTTGCTGAACTATGAGTATGTATACTAAAATAATACTCTTTCGGTCCTTAATATAAGACTTATTTAACTAATTTGATTAGATTAAGGAAGTTAGGTAAGTTAGTTAATTATAAGGAATATGACATGTTTTTCCTAAAGCACCACAATCATCTTTTTTAATATCCTCTCTTCCTTTTCTACTTGATTATGATTAGAGGAGTATCCATAAAGATAATTTAAAAAAAATTAATAAATATGAGAAATAGATCTTATATTTAGAATCAAAATTAACTCAACAATTAGGTCATATATTAAGGACCGAAGGAGTAGAAATTTACAAATCAAACAACACTTATCACCATTTATCATTTAGAGGGGCCAAATTTATAGGTGAAAGTCAATGAAGGTTTTTAGGAATAACAAACTTCTAAATTTAGATATTGGAATAATTTTTCCTTAAAAATTATTTTTTTCAAATTAAAATCAAAACTAAAAGGGGAGTGACAACTTTGTAGGTTTAGATATTTATTATTCATTGGAAGAAACTTAATTTCTTAGCACTTAAGTTTTCACTCATTTTGCAATTTAATCTATAAATTTTGATTTAATATAACTCAATTCTTTATTTTAATCACTTATAATATTATATTTTAGAAGATAAAATGATATATTTTATGAAACTTAGAGACTAAAACTTTTAAATGATTAAAATTGTATATTGAGTTGTAGTGGGTTTAATATTTAGGGACAGTCAACATTATGGGAAATAAAAAATTTCAGGGATGAGAATGACATAATCAAATAATTAATTTTCGTTTATTATTTCTTTTTGTGTGTGTGTGGGGGCGGGGGGGTTGTCAGAAACACACCTTGGCAAACCCTGATGCCTCGCTATGAATTTCCCAGCTGCTTTGTTAACAGAACAGCCGCTCATCGGATACGCCAGCGGCTGAGGCGAAGATGCTGGCCAATCCATACAGTTGGCTTTTTGTCACTATCCACCCCGACTGCTTGATTTACCTGAATGTGCTTGCTTATATTACGCTGTGCCAAACCAATCTTCATGCCTGCAAATAATTAGAGGCATGAGTTATACAATCATCAACTAATTGTTCAATTATTTTCAGAAATGATATTTCAATCATTTCTTACAGTTTCCCCTGTTGAAAGGGAAAAATATATATACATATACACACACACACATTATGCCATATAGAAATCAGTGACTCCTATATATCCAGTAGAATTCGTCATGATCGCGGCTTCTCCCCTTTACTCTTAGGTTGACCTGATTATATATCTTGCCCCTTTTTCTGAAAGAATACAAGAAGGCAAAATGAAATTAAAACAGCTTCATCTCTAAGACTCAACAAACGATGAGTCAAAGACTGGATTAGGAGAAAATCATAAAGATTAGAGCGGAAGTCACCTGTGTGTGAAGCTGGGGTGGATGAGAGAGATTAATCTTATTTATCAGAGTGATCAGAAGAACAAATAGAGGCCTTTGCTGCTGCTAAATCTCACCCCAATAAGAATTTTCTCCAGAAATGACTTCCTGACGAAGGATTTAGTGAGAGCAGCTTCCCGACCAGGAAAGTAAGCTTTGTAATCATTAAAAGTTCTGCAAGTTTGCAAAGGAGAGCGCAGAAAGACAAGGGGGAGTGATGGTGAAGGCGAAGGGACAAGCACGCGAGGCCCATAAATCACGAGTAACGAGAAAAATATTTTTAAAACGATAATACTTAAATGAAACTCCATCTATCCCTTAGGGAACGTTTGGCTCAATGAGAGGAAAGGGAGGGGAGAGATTTTAATGGAAAGAAGGGAGAGGGGAGGAGAGTAGAATAATTTTAATATTATCTTATTTGGATTTATAAAAAAAGAGAGGAGGGGAGGGAAAAATATTTTAATATAGACAATTTTGTTCTTATTTTATTTAAGATATGGATATAATAGTCACAACATGATAAAATATGAGCATAATAATCACAACATGACAAAATATGGACATAATGGTTACAATATGACAAAATATTACCCTTCCCTTCCAAATCCTCCCAATTTTTGGAGGGGAGGTTGAAGAGGGGAGGGGAGGGAAAATTTTTTAAAATTTTCCCTCCCCTCCTAAAATTTGTGTGTTGCCAAATAAGGAAAAATGATTAAAATCCCTCTCCTTCCCTCCCCTCCCTTCCAAATCCCTCATACCAAACACATTCTTAGGGTGTGTTTGGAAGACACCCTAAACTATGGTTTGGAGAATAAATCATCCAAACACCCACTCAAAAACCAAAACTATGGTTTTGAAAAAAGCAAAAAATTTTTGCTTTTGGAGAGAAAAAAGAGAGTATGAGAGCTTATAGAATATGTATATTGTTATTTTTTTTATAAACATATTTTTTTATAAACATATTTAATCTTATATTTTATAAATATATATTAATTATTTATTAATTATATTATCTTATGTATTATTAATTATGTTGGTAAAAAATATATTATTAATAATTTTATTCCTTCAAATTAAAATATATCATAAAATCTATTTTGTATGTAATTATCATATTAACTTATATCTTTTTTTTAGTAATTTGTATATAAAAAGTGCTTCTGATAACAACTATCCAAACACTCTCACTTCTCAGAATCACTTTTTTACAAAATCTATTTTTCACAGAATCTATTCTCCAGAATCGCTTTTTCAAACCATGGTTTGGTTTCATCCCATCACTTTTACTCTAAAGTCTTTTTTTTTTAAATACTTCACCTGATATCCTTACCAACTCCTCAAAAAATTATACTGTAAATCAGATTAATTCAGATCAAGAATTTGAGGACCTATAAGACAGCTATCCTATCACCTACACTGCTGCATGTCTAAGGATCAAACCCATGACTTTTAATTAAGTTGAAACAACCTCTGACGAGTTGATCCAACTGCTTAGTGATATTACGCCAAGGTCTTTAATCATATATGTTGATATATTCTATTTTAACAGTATTTTATTATAAATTTATATAAACAAAAAAATATAAATGAGTATATGTAGTTGAAGACTTAACATAACATATATAAAAAAATTGACATTAATTTTCTCCTTTTTACAATACCACTTGCGTTATAAAAGGGATTTAAAGGATAAAGTTAATTTGCTTAAGTATTTTTTCATTTAAAAATTATACTTCTTGTTATTCTTATTATAAAACATCTTATAAAAGAAATAAATAGTTCTTAATATAAGTCAGATGTATCAATAACATTTTTTTAAAATTATCTTTATTTAAAATCAGATGCAATTTTTCTCTGTCAATTTCTGTTATGAATGTTTTCCCCTCGTAATCAATTTTCAATGCATCTTCTTAAATATGATAGAAATGTTTGTTTTCAATTTTTAGACCAATTAATTACTTAACCATATTTAGACAAAACAATGAAGTTTTTGCAAGACTTAACTTTAAATTCTTACTCAAAAAAAATATTATTGAATTTCCTTCCCCAGACGAGTCAGAAACTTCGAACTCCAACGCGGTTTTAACTTTAAAATGGGGATCCCACACGGTTTTTTGGTTTTAATTGTTGTTTAATGAAAGCCTCAAGTGCATTGCAACTTCACTATTGCCCTCCTTTTCCACAAACCCATAGGGCATAGGCCATACACATGTTTAGGAAAAATTCCTCAAAAAAAAAAAAAATAAATAACTCATATTTTTATTTAAATTATTAAATTTGTCAAACTCATAATTACATCACATAGCCTAAACAAATATTTTAAAGTTTTATAAAATGGTTTTAATTTTCTTTTTATTAAAAACCAAAAGAAAAAATTCTAAATTAATACTCTTTTGATAAAAAAAATCTTATATTTAGGATCAGTTAGTACATTTTAATTATAAATTAACAATTTTCAGATACTGTAGAGGCCCATATGGGGGTGACTCTCCTAAGCCAACAGCTTGACAACCTCAATTCATTTAACTGCACCCACTGATGCTCTGCTGGTTATTTTCTTCAACATATTTAAAATATATCGCAATTCTTTTTCCTGCTGCTACTGGTTGATTAGGGGCCTGTTTGGATGACATTGGAAACCATGGTTTAGAAGCTCAAACCATGGTTTCCCTAAAATGTTATCCAAACAGGCCCCATAAAATTGCAAACTGTGGTTTAGGTAAAACCATGGTTTCACCCAGTGAAACCATGGTTTTATCAGAAGCTAATAATTGTCGCTTCTGGTAAAAAATTTGGAACGGCTCATCACGTGGCAATAGTCATTCCAAAAACACCCTCTTCCTTCTCTTCTTCGCTGGCCGACACTCCTTCATGAATGATCAGAGTGAT